ATATATACTGCCTAAGCTCTCCGTCTAAAGTGGTTCACACCATTTATTTGAAGCCTGTACCAACTTATGACTGTAGTGTTCATCTTAACGAATCATTCTGGTATTCTGCTTTTTGTTTGTTTGTCATCTTACCCATTTCAGAGCTTTCCAAAAATGTAAAAATAAGACACTGACTACTTACAATGTTTGTTAGATATAGTCTAGATTTAACTAAATTTTTTAGTTCATTGGCATATCTAAAGGCATATTCTTTTTCCCCACATTTTTACTTCAACTTCATTCTGCTAGAAATTTTACATTTAAATGATTACATTTTAAAATGATTAGTGGATTTTTTACATGGTCCAGACAGTAAAGGATGAGGTGTCAAAAGCTGGATGTGATGGTGCTTGCCAGCATTTGCATTGTTCAGAAAAAAGATCTTTGGAGTCCAAGAGTTCAGGATCAGCCTGGGCCACAAAGCAAGTCCCCTGTCACAGAACAAAGCAGCTCTAGTGACTATTACAGACTTTCTGGTGTTGGTGCACATTGCGGTTAGTTACATAGTAGTAGAATACTCTGTTCTGTTCCTGTTTTTCTGCAAGTAGACATCCAGGAAATGAGTGGTTATCTTACATCATAAACCAGAGTTCCATCTTAATGAAAAAAATTAGTCTGCTCAGTATTTGTGCTTTTCATCCCATCCAGGGACTTGATAAGTGACTTGTGGCTTTTCTTTTGAAATCTTGGATTTGGATTTGAAACCTTTGGATTATTATCTAAGAGAGTTGGCTGTGTTTACTTTACATAATTAAAAGTGAAATACTAATGTCTTTCATACTTGCTGACATTGTTGAGTATACTTTGTTTGTTCTCCCTGAACCCTGTGAGTAGTAGATGTGATGAATACTCCCTTCTTAGATCTAGGAGAATACAGGGCTGGAGTTTGCATTCATGCAGCTGGACAGACGGCCTCTGTGTATAACAGGCAGACCTGCACACTCCTTAAGTGGCTCACCTCAGGGACAGGCTGTATCTGTCTGCACTCGCGTCACTACATGCCTCAGCTACATCACATTCTAGCACAGGAAAATAACTTTTCATGTATCTCAAGTAATTTGTCTTAAGGTTTAAGTATTTTTTTTAAGTTATATTTCAAATTCAAGGAAACTTAAGTTATATTTCCCACTCATTTCTCTTAGCAAGTCAAATGTTTAAGTGTTGAGAATATAAATTTTAGAAGAACTTTCTTTGTATTTAACTATATTTAAAGAACTGCAAATTCATGATATTTCACCTGGTTTAATAACCCTTCAGTTTTGTTACTTTTGTAGCATTCATTTCCTTATTCTTTAATATAGATATTGGTGAGAGGAAATTAAGTATAATTCTAGGGCTTTGGTAGGCATTAATTGAGAAGTAGGTAAGTTAATTTCTTGGTAAAATGGTTTTGTCTAGAAAGTGATCAGTTCACCTAAATAGTTTATAATTGAAGGACTTATTTTTTAGTTGTGGTTATAGTGTCTGCTTTTACTGAATTGATTTGATAGTTCCATTTTTATTTCATATGCTGTCTGACATTTACTTGTGGAGTTCATCATGTGATACTTATGTCTACATGAAATTAATTTTAAGACCCTAATAATGGTTTGTGTGGTATCTGTTTGGAATAACTAGTTTTAATCATTGGGCCTGAAGAATTTAAGTGCATGCCTGGCTTAGTGGACATTTGTTCATCTGGTATGGAAGGGAATCTTGTGTGCTTTTTAGTCTCACTTTTCATGCACTGACCTCACCAAATACCACCTCACAAAGTCAGGTTGCTCAGTCATTGCCACAGGTTACTTGGAAGATGTTGGAAAGTATTATATTTATCTGATTTTAATTTTAGAATCTTAACAGAGCTTTCTTTGCTGTTTATAGTTACTTTCTGTTAGGAATCTGTTTTGAAAAGAATTTAAATCTTAAATTCAGGGCCTTGAGGTTTTTTTATAATGTTTGAATGACTCTAAGGCTTTTCCTTAAGTATAGGTATATTTGCCATTTTTTCAGTAACACACTGGCTTCGTTAAACTTTGAGCAGAGTACATCTGTTTCACATTCAAACTGAGATAACGTGTGCTTTTCATAGTCCCTTAGTTGACATTTCCAAATAACTGCCTTTTTCAGGCTTCCCATTTTAGATCAGTTATGTAGAATTAAAGACCAAAAACAGACAACGGGTTTAGCTCTGGTCTTGGGGGATAATCATTAGGTCATCTTGGCAGACATAGACTATTCCTCTACATGTTTAAACTTTAATTTTAAGTGAACCAGTAATTACTGAACATCCATGTCTGACAGCGCTATGCTTGGTTCTTTGGGTGATGTAAAAATAAAGTGTAGTTTTGTAAAAGTAAAGACATATAAATTACAGGGAATTGAAGAGGCTTAAAATTGATTTTTAAGTTAGCAACATTCTAGAACCAGGTGTCGATTTCATCTTGAGCAGTTTAAGACATCTACATGGAGGAAAACAGAATTTGGAAGGAGCAGACAAATCTTAAATACTGCTAGCCTGACAGTTAATGTATCTTTGGGATATAGTGGCTGAAATCACTGACAATAAAATGGTCGTTTTTGAAAGAAGTATATTTTATATCCAGATTTATTTTTATAATGTCTTGGATGATCACCTATATAGACGAGATTGAAATTACCAGCTCTGGTTTTGAGGACATGTCCTCTATATCCTGCTGGGCGGTTTCAGTATCCTTTGAAGATTCTATATATTTTGCTGTTTCCTTGAACCATAAATATTTGGACAATAGAAAGCGTGAAAAGGTTGGGAATGCAGAAAATGCTATTATTATATTGAGAAAAAGATAATAGGTACATATGATAATTTATTAAAAATAGATACTCTAGGGCTGGGGTTTTAACTCAGTGGTGCGGCTGCCTGCCTCGCAAGCGCAAGGTCCCGAGTTCAGTCCCCGGTACCAAAAAAAAAATATGTGCTTTATGAGTGTGATTCAGCAGTTGGCAGAAAATTGTTGGGGTCAATAACTTCAAATAAATGTATACCTTTCTCATCTGCAAAAATAGGGAGAAGGACTTCTCTCACTATTTGAGATGCTACATAGAAACACCCCACACACAACACACACACACACACACACAAACACGCACGTGCTTTTATATGCATTTAAAGCTAGAACTAGTAGTTTTAAGTGCTAGAGTAAGCTAAATTGTATATTTTGAAGTGTTGAAGATGTTGGTTTTAAGAATATGGATTGGGGGTTAGGAGATGTATCTGAGCATTATTAAATCTGGAGGGCAGTAAGTAGATATTTAGAAATATATGTCTTGTGTTCTTGTTTAAGATTAAGATGGCTTTCAATTTTGTTTATGTATTTACATGGAGTGTCTCATCTTGCATTTTTGTGATTTTTTTTTTTTTTTTGGTAGCAGTACCTTTTATGCTGTTTCAATGTGGCTATAACTTTAGTGGAAAAAATACAACTGTAAAAAGAACTTTATTGTGAGTTATATAGCCTGAGTCGGAAAACACAACCTACCCTACAGTCGTAGATTGGTACAGAATATCCTTAAAGAATTTGTTTCACGTACATGGGGTGTTAGATTTCAAGCATTGTAAATGTAAAAGTACCATTATTCCTGCTAGTATCTTGCTGATAGTTGCTTTAGTTGGCTTTTCTCCTGTACAGTATGTTTCTTTAAAACATGTCTTTTTTCCTTACATTTTAGCCAAGAGTTGAAGCTAAGCCAGAAGTTCAGTCTCAGCCACCACGTGTGCGTGAACAACGCCCTAGAGAGCGACCTGGTTTCCCTCCTAGAGGACCAAGACCAGGTGAGTCTGCTCCTTTCTAGCCTTTAGTATTTAGCATTTGGAAAACTAGAGAAGACTGAACTGGTAGAAAACCATAGTGGGTTTTATACACCAATCTTTGTAGTATCCAGTTGCTTAAGAGATGTGAGCAGCCTGCTGGAGGAAACTCTGGGGCAGGATTGCACCTTCAGGGGAGGATTGGTTGTCCTGCTGTAGAGACTTGGAAGGTGTAAAAAGCTTGAAACACGTGTTATTTGGTTATTGTCACTGGTTTTAAGAATTCAAAACCGAGCTGCCAATAACCTACTCTTACTTAGCGCTCTTATCTCTTCACAGATAAACACTAAGCACACCCTGATTCTTCTTATTTTGATTGTCTTAGGTATTAAGTAAGTTGCCATGATTTTTGACTTGTTTACATGTTAGCTAATATATGTATTACCTTTATTTGAATTCTATAAGAATGTTTAGATTACTTTTGGGAGGAGGTGGGAGATATTATATATCAAATTTTGAATGTTATTTTTAAAACTTGTGTGTTAACTAAACTAGGAGTCAAAAGAGCAGGGCAGGGGTGGTTGCTGGCTTTGCTGCCAGCTGTATTTATGATCTTGAGTGGGGACTTTAAATGCTGAGCTTTTCTTACACCAATTCTGTTATTACAAAAACTTTTCTTGTGGGGCCTGTCTTATATGACTCACTGTGCTTCCTATGGGAAAGTCAAATAGGATTATATGTGAGAGCACCCTAATATATAGACTATGTAAAATGAGAGATTGGTACTATTAAAATTTACTGATTTGGCTATAATGTCATATAATCAAAGATTGAGGCTGGGCATGGTGGTGTATTCCTGTAATCCTAACTATGTCAGAAGCTGGGTAGGGAGATTTAAAAGTTCCAGAGCCTGGGTAACTTAGTGAAACCCTCTCTCAAAATAAAATATAAAAAGGACCGGTACTGGGGGAAAAAATTCAGAAGACTAAACAAATATTTGGTCGAAATAGACATCTTTGAAGTTGGCTTGGTTCCTGGGTGATGGCAACAGTTTCGATGGTTAAGGAGGAATACATGTACTTCTAGTATCTGACTTATAATCAGACCAGTAGTCTAGAAGATAGAAGGAACTATCCCTCTATCCTCACTTTACAGTTTAATGTCCTGTTGTTTTCTGACTAACCTACTAATATCTAGATACTTCCACCTCTTCAAGGCACTCATAATTTTATTAAACTAAAACAGGAGTCTTAGTATTAAGTGATTTTTCTTTTTACATTCATTGCTTTGAACTGTTTTATATGATGTTGTAAACTTTGTGTCTGTTCTATTCCTGTTCTCAGGCAGGGGAGATATGGAACAGAATGACTCTGACAACCGTAGAATAATTCGCTACCCAGACAGTCATCAGCTTTTTGTTGGTAACTTGCCACATGATATTGATGAAAATGAACTGAAAGAGTTCTTTATGAGTAAGTGGTTTATTCTGCTTTTTTAAATTAAAATTTAAAAATTATGTTACATTAAGCGAGAGGTAGATAGACTTTTTCATAATGTAGCCAGTGTGTCCCTCGATGTAGTGTCCCACTACCAGACTCATCTTGACTGGTCAGAAGGGAATGAAGGTAGTGATGGCTTAGCTTTCACTTGTTCTCATTCAGTAGTGATCAGAAGAAAAGGCTGGACAAATTAGTGTGAAAATGGGAAATACATGTCAAAATGAGAAGATAACATGGTCTTTCCAGAACTTCATAGGTAGCTTTTCTTATGAAAGAACTAGTGAAGGTGATGAAAGATAGCAGAACAAGCAGCCAGGCCAGCTCTGATATTTTGTTTGATGGCCTGCATGAGTACCTTATTGTCATGGGATACAGTGCAACTTTTATTTCCAAGTGGGTCAGGAATGTTAAGGTTATTCATCCTGAATAATTTAAGCCATTAGACTATTGTTAAAGTATTTAATTCTTGGTGTAATGTATATTTTCACAGGTTTTGGAAACGTTGTGGAACTTCGCATCAATACCAAGGGTGTTGGGGGAAAGCTTCCAAATTTTGGTTTTGTGGTTTTTGATGACTCTGAACCAGTTCAGAGAATCTTAATTGCAAAAGTAAGTGATTTAAAGGGCATAATTCAAGACATTTTTATCTTTGTTGTATATAATATGATTAACTTGGTGCTTTTTTTAAAAACCATAGAAAATCATTTTTAATGGTAAAGCTAAAAATAGTTCATTGTGAAATGGTATTTATGCAAAGGTTAAAGATTTCTTTATGGCATTAAAATCTGAGGTGTGGCTCATTTTAAGTTTCATTATTTAATAAGGTTGGAAAGATTGTATAGTAAGATTTTCATGAAAGTTGTCTCTTTTTTTGGTACCGGGGATGAAACTCGAGATCTTGTGCTTGCGAGGCAGGCAGCAGCACCACTGAGCTAAATCCCCAGCCCTCATGAAAATTTTGTTCTGAGGATTTTCTAATTTCTCTGAGCCAAGGTAGTGCATTTCGATTACTATCTAACCCACCTGTGTTGATATTTTTCTCCTCTTTTTAAAGCCAATTATGTTCCGAGGAGAAGTGCGTTTAAATGTAGAAGAGAAAAAAACGAGAGCTGCAAGAGAGCGAGAAACCAGAGGTGGTGGTGATGATCGCAGAGATATCAGGCGCAACGACCGGGGTCCTGGTGGCCCACGTGGCCTCGTGGGCGGTGGGATGATGCGTGACCGAGATGGAAGAGGGCCTCCTCCAAGAGGTGGCATGGCACAGAAACTGGGCTCCGGAAGAGGCGCTGGGCAGATGGAAGGCCGCTTCACAGGACAGCGGCGCTGAAGTCACTGCAGGCCAAGTCTCTGCAGTGGTGCATTCTTCATCGTGTTTGCATTCTGTTAATTTTTTTTTGGCTTTGGAATGTGACACAGCCTTTTTGATCATTTCTTTGATGTGAAAAGCATCTTTGGTTATCAGTTAAATTGAGGTGGACATGATTTCCCCAATTTCACAACAGGAATCACATTGTTAATTTATAAATCTAGACTTGGTGAATTAAGGACTGAGAGATGACCATACCTTAATCTACAACAAAATGAACTTAAAAGGACATGTCCTCTGAATTCAGGTCCTTTGAGTAAAAAAAAAAAAAAAAAAATCCTCTGCTGCACATTTTGTTTTAAGTGTTACTGTTTCTGCCTGTTAATGTTGGAAACACAAATAGTGCAATTTGTGCAATTGGAGAATCTTGCCTTTTTTCTTGGCTCCCCCCAAAAGTACAAACCAACCGAAACTTGTGCACTCATCAAAATGCACTATTGGGTACTCTGAACTCATTAACATTGACATCTGCAACAGGAGGCAACAGGGAAAAAAATCTTTTCATCTTTTTTTCCAGTAGAGAATAGCTTGTGAAATGATGAGGGCATTTTATCTGCTTGCTGTGACCAGCGTGTGTACACATAAACCTTAACAAGACTACAGATATATTCCAGAAGGAAATAATTTAGTTATGAACTAAATAACAAAAATCAGAACTTCAAATCTTACGGTCTTAAATATTAGACCAGATTTAGTAGCTTCATATCATAAGAGTTTTCTACCTGCCCCTCTTGAGTACAGGGATGGCTGGCTGCTCAACACACTCCTCCCCTTTTCCTTTCTTTAAGCTGTGTACAGTGGAAATTGTCTTTCCTGTATTTTTGTTCTCTGGTAATGTAATAAGCATGATGGTGCCTTCTCTTAATACATCATTCCAGTCTTGCTGGTAATTTTGTACAGTACAGTTTATGAATTGCCGTGCTGCAAAGCCAAACAGCTGCAAAATGTTGAGGAAATCATTGAAGTGTATAAAAATTGCAGTATCTTTAAAATCAGTAAAACGGACACTTATTTATCTTGTTCTTCAGTTAACAGCTTTTGTATTCTGTGGGAGGGGGTCTTGTGTTCAGAAGGGAGCGGGAAGGAGGAAGGTCGGTTCTTTGAGTCTCTAGTTGACTTTTCTCGGCTTGAATGCTTGGAAAAGTCACTCAACTTGATGTACATTTTTAGTAACATTTCAAAAGCAGTCAGATTCCATAAATGGCAAGTAAACCTAGAGTGAGGATACTGCAATTTTCAGAGGAAAGAACAGCAGCTCTATTAAGTGTTTGCATTTTCTATTTGGGGGGCAGGGAACTGTCATTCATTTTGCACAATTCTTGAACCGATGTTAGCACCTGAGTGAGTGGCTCCTGAATTTAAGTCTGGGATGACATCTTTTTATTTTTACATGGATCTCTGAATAATTCTGTGAGCAGAGTTTGTAGCTGCTGGGTTATTGTATTGTCTTTTTAGCAAGCTCAGTAAAACCCAAGTATGGCAGAGATGATCCAGTTCTGTGCTTGGAGCAATCAGTACCTAGGCAGTTTCTGATGTTTCAGGCAAGAGGTGAGGAGAATAAGTGTGACCACTGAAAGCTGCTTGTTAGCATGGAAGACTTCTCCATTCTGAGTAAAAACAAACAAAACGTGCCCTTGACGTAGTAGCAGATTGGTTCTGAATTATGCAACTATTTGCTGTTTAGTGAACTAGCAAATGATTGCATGTGCTTTGCTTTTTACAAACTGGGCAATAAAAGTAAAGTCAAATCTGTTGTCTTTTTTTCACCCCTTTGAATGCGGTCTTCCATGTTTGAGGAAAAGTTTTGCACTATTGCATATATTTGGGGGACACTGATTTTCAGTTTCCATTTTTTGGGAGCTTAAGGATTTGTATTTGTTTGAGACAGTTTTATGCTTTCTGATGTATAGTACTTGAAGTTCTTACCAGAAAATTACTTTGGAATCTTGAAGCCTTTATCCAAACTACTTTTAAATGAGTGGTTTTATGTCAGTGTTTTTTCCTCCCAAGTGTATTTTTCCTTTATTCCTCTTTTTCCTTTATATATACATAAGTAAATGTATGTGTGTATATACACACACATATACATGTTTCTAATCCAGGATATTGTGCTGTAACCCATGAAAACTATTCTGGCACCAAAAGAAATGACAAGTGTTAAGTGTAACAGAAAATGAGAGCAAAAAGCCGTTCAGCTTCAGTCTCTACATATCGCAAAGGAAACATGGAAACACCGTATGGAGAAATTTACACGGTGGTTGTTCATCTGCAGTACTGTGGACTTTTAACACTTTGTCCCCTCTTCAGTGAAGCAGTAAAAATATTCATCCACCATTACTGTTATTTGCTAATTTTGTTTTATTTTTCGATGGTAATGTTCTATCCTTATGACACTATTGCAACCAAATTGGCTTTACCATCTTGGCTTTAGTAGGTATAGAAGACAATGGATTACCATCTCTGTTGCTGTAATGTGTTAAGCATTATATGCTAGTAGAATCTAGTTTAATTGTTTCAGGTGGAAAGCATTCTTTTGAGTTTCCATTTTTGAATGTGTTTGGACTAAACAATAAACTACTGATGTCTGCAGCATTTATCTGTCTGTAATTTAATCGGTAGTTTGATGTTTGCAACTATTTTCTCCCAGTTCATTTCATACAATAAGTAAAAATAAGTTCTAAAAACAGTTGTTTATTACTTGTGAATAAACTATTTGATGTATAAACTATTGAAACATGTAGGCAACACTTGCATGTTGTTAAGAGTTCTCTACCCAGTTAGGTTGCTGACATACACGTGCAAGAGTGTCAAGCTCAGTAGTAGTAAGGAAGGTTAAAATGATCCATAGCAGACCACTAAATAGTTGTATGGGGGCACCTTGGAGTTCCTAAATGATGGCTGTCTTGGAAAAAACAGGAGGAGAAGTTTGCCTAAAATTATGGGGCCGATACCAGATGAGAATCAGAGCAGGTTTATTGAGTTCTATAAGAATATTAAAGAAGAAATTATCATTTGGTCATATTTAGCCATCCCTCAAATGAAAAATGAGGTTCCAAGGCAAATGTTGCTTCAAAACTCGAAACTTCCTTTGAGGGCATGATACAGATTATTTTTTCTGCTGGTACATTCATGTATCACTGCTAATATATCACTGTTTAAGAGTCCTGCATTGATCTTCGCTAGTTTGTCCTGGAGAGGAACCAGAATAACCAATACTTAAATAATCTGAAAGAATTAAGGTTTTTGGAAACTATAATGGAAAAGCTTATCTAGAAAAGCATTTTTGGGGAGGGAATAAAATGTATATCCCACACTGTACTGTAAATAGACCAAATTTGAAGGAGCAATTCAGGAAATTTTAGTTTTACTTTTTAAGTGACCTATTTATTTTAGGTGAAATCTCACTATATTGCCCAGGTTGGTCTTGAACTGGGCTTGAGGGACCTGCCTCAGCCTCTCAAGTGCTAGAATTACAGGCATGCACCACTACACTCAGCTTGCTCATTTATTTTTTTGGTGCTGGGGATTGAACCAAGGACCTTAAACGTTAGGCAGTGTTTTACCACTGACATACCCCAAACCTAGTCCAGGAAATCTATATGGAGCAAAATATTTGAAAATTTTAGTCATTCAAGATGCTTCATTTCAGGCCAAGTATGTAGCTCAGTGGCACTGCACCTGCCCAGCAAGCACGAAGTCCTGAGTTCGATCTCCAATATTGAAAAAAAAATGTTAATTTTAATTATGTATATAATTTCATCTTTTTTTAATGATATAGTCTGTAGAACATAAATGGAAAATTAGTGGACTAGGTTCATATATTTGAGAGGGGGTATATATTTTAAATTCAAGTTGCTCATTATTTTGTTTTGGTTTTGGTTTTTTTGGTGCCGGGGATCAAACTCGATCTTGTATTTGCAAGGTAGGCACCAAAACCACTGAGCTAAATCCCCTGCCCTCATTTATGTTTTAACAGCAGATGAAGGAAGACCTTTGATTTTTTAAATTTAGTCTCAGAGTGGTAGGTTTTAGTAAGTTAACATAGTTACTTACTAAATAATGAAGTCACTGGCTACTTTAGACAAATAGGGGCTAAAATCTTAAGATCTCTGTAATGTATGTACACTGTTTAACATTTCAGAATTGTAAGTCTGTATTTGGCATTACCAAATACTGGGGGGAAAATGCTATAAATGCAGGTGCAGAGTTATTTACAAAGATTACTAGCCACCTATGAATTACTGCATGAATTGATCCCTTTGTCCTTGATTCTTTACTTTGGGGTGGTTTTTTTTGTTTGTTTGTTTGTTTTGGTACAGGGGATCGAACTCGGGACCTTGCGCTTGCGAGGCAGGCACTGGAACCACTGAGCTAAATCCCTAGCCCTATTCTTACGATTTTGATAAAGTTGGCTGCTTCCTTGACATGCTTTCATTTTTTTGTGACATGAATACTCTGCCCCCTAAAGGGGATTGAACCCACGACATCCGCACTGAGCTATATCCTGCATACACACACACGCCCATTTTTTTATTTTGAGACAAGATCTCGCTAAATTATTCAGACTGGGGCTAAATTATTCAGACTGGGCTTAAATTTGTGATCCTGTTGGGATTGGTGTTTTTTGTTTTTTACACTCGTCTAGCACCCTAACTTCCAGTCCCTTCTCTCCCAATCTATTCCTTTCCCATAGGCCCAGTGGTTTCCTAGGCCAGGGACCACCTTAGCGTCAGTGTAGCACTCATGCAGTGAATGATTCCGTATGGTTTCTCATGGTCAAGAGCAGGGCTTTGGAGACATCTTGGGCTGAAGTAGCAGCTCCACAATTCTGGTGAGGCTTTTCTGTGCCCTTTCCTCCCTTGTAAAAAGAAGACACCTGAAACAGCATGTATGCCCTGGGTATTAGCTGTTACAGTGCTGTTGCAGTTCTGTCTGGTGGTACAAATGTGTCTCTTTAAATACATTTGGCCACATTCCCTTGGAAGCATTACCAGACAGAATTAGGAATCCCAAACTAATATATTTTCCTAAGTAACTTGCCTGTATGTGCCTAGGTCTTTAATAAAAAACATGTTTCTTTTTCTAATCTGTTTACAAACAGCCTAGCAATGTTTGAACTATCTTCAAATGAGTCAAGGACATTGTTTCCTGTCTCCTTGGATTTTGGGGTTTGTATTGTTTTGTGTTTTGTTTTGTTTGAGACAGGGTCTCACTATGATGTCCAGGCTGACCTCGAACTCAAAGTGATTCTTTGCCTTACCCTCCCAAATGGTGGGATTACAGGTGTGCACCACCATACCTGGCTTGTCTCCTTGTTTTGTCTTTCAAATTGCAAGAAGACCTGCTCAGCTGTGCTGATGAACTCCCAGGGACTTGGTCATTTTTGAGCTTCAAAGTTCCAGGCGGTCTAATAGGCACTGTTAATAAAGGGTGACTTGACATGGCTTCATGCTCTTCAACAAGTTGAAAGGACAGAAGTCCCACCCGGAGATGGAGTGGGTACACATTGAAGAAGGCAGGGACAGACCAGTGAGGGTCTTGTTGGCCTCAGGGAGTTTGCTCTATATAGAGAGCAATGGGAAGTGGTGGTTTGGCTCAGTGGGAAATGTGGTAACAAGTGACAATATTTCCGTTTTGAATGAAGCTAGCTGTAGAGTGAACAATTGGAGTCCAGTAGTGCATTGAAGCAAGTAAGAGGATGACAGCAGCATGTCAGGAGGTATACTTTAGTGCCCTAGAAGTCCAAAGAATTTGTCCACTTGAAAAGATTTGAAGGTAAAATGGTAAGGATGTGGTGAGAGAACAGATGATACTAAAGAAAAATCTGAAGTTTTTCACCTGTATGTTAAGTAAAATGTTTTGAGCAATAGGAACACAGAAGAGGAAGGCATTTGAGGAAGAAATCCATGTGGTGTGTGTGTGAGCAATGCATGTTATGCAACACAGAGGGTCCCTATAAATATCTTGGCATATGTGTTTAGTTGTTGCTTAAAATTGCTTTTTCACATTCATTTTAATGAAGACAAGTCACTGAACAATTTCCTCAGGTGTTTATTAAACACTGTTTGGGGTTCTCTTGGACACATGCATGAATTCACAAGGCCTGTGGTCTTGCATTTATTTGCTTGGTCATGGAGAAGTAACCATAAATGCCATGCAAAGAATAAAGATCAAGTAAGTAGCTGCTGTGTGACCATGTGAGGCAGTTGTTCTGTTCACCATCCCAGAGCTGACAGCGATTGCAGGAGGAACCAGCCAGGGCAAACTCTGTACAATTAGAAAAGCTTGGGGGTGGCTGGCAGAGGCCAGGGTAGGTAGAGGAGCTGGGGAACAGCAAACAGTTTAGGATATGAAGTAAAAGAAATGGACTGGATCCTACACCAGTGTGAGCTAGGGTAAGGCATTGATGGGGATTTTTTACTAAGTGCATAAGAAGCCATTAAAGAGAACTGAGCAGGGAGTGATATAATGCAGGGCTAATGCCATGTGAGAGTCGGGGGTTAGAACAGAAGCAGGATCCATAGGCTGTTGTAGAGAAGTAACATCTGATTGCCAAGGCAAGCTTCAAAGCTAACTACAGAGTATTATGTAGCCGGAGGCACAACAGCCGAGCTGCTCATCCACCAATATGAGTAGGACCCGTGGAGGATGTGACAGTGACAGGAGGTGGGACCTTCCCACCCAAGGTAGAAAGGAGGTCTCTTCATGGAAGAACTGCAGAGCCCCCTGGTTCATCAAAAGGCAGCACAAATGCAGCTGACATCAAGAGGTAGATAGAACTGAGCCAACATGGCCTTGTAGCTTGGGTTTTGCTCCTGGTGGGACTGTAGGGATCTGAATTAGGAAGCAACACCAAATGACAGGTCAGGGAGCTCAGATAAACTTCACAGTGAGGACATTGATCAGTAGTCAGCTCCTAAGAGATGTTGGAGACAGAACCCACCAGAGCTGCTCGTGGACTAGACTATGGATGTGGGAGAGAGGCAGAGCTCGAGGAGGACTCCTGGGTTTTGATGCAACTTGAGTGGAAGGTAATGTTCTACAAGAAGGAGAAGGAGCAGAAGTGGACATGGAGGGGAAATCAACAATGATGCATTAAGTTTCACTTTCCGGTTGGATACCCATGAAGCAGCCTCAAGAATAAAGAGTAACTGGAGTTCTAAGATGTAGCAGACATCCCTGCCCAGTACCAGTAGGCTATCAGTGGCACCTGCTTCTTACTTTCCACAATTCGGCTATATTGTTTTATTTCAGGAGTCAGACTGAAGCTCCACATGACTCAAATAGGCATGTCAGGTGGACTGGGTGAGTATAGTCCCTCCCCCAATGGCTGCCACAGAAACCTAGTCCCTGGTCTGTGAAGTGGCAGGGCTCTGCTGAGTTACATGCAGCAGAGGTCAGTGTGACCCCAATTAAAATCCTTTCCTCTGAATTATGGCTTCTCACTGCCTCAATGGGTTGATCGCTAATTGCACTCAGTACCAGTACCAGTTTGTTCTACCCAAGCAAGATAAGCAATGCTTACTCCCTAACAGCCCTGCCTGGCCCCATCATGCCAGGTGTTCAGCAGTATTTCACTGGATGCCTTCAAA